TCACTCTGGCTAGGTGGGAATCCTAAATCATCTCTTTACAATCAATACTTTCTGATTAATGTATCTAATTAAATATATCAAAGAGAGTTGTCTGGCATTTATTACTTCGAGGTCTGTAATTCAATGCCAATTTGAATTTCTTCCAATGTTTCTATAGCCAAAATGATTTTTCAGCTTTTAAAAATGGTTTCAGTATCTCAAGCACAGCTTGCTGGTCATGATATTCCATATCTATCCTGCCCACCTTTAGTATCACAGAAGGCTTTCCTCATCTTATAATGGCTTATTTTTATCAGTGTTTAACAAAGTAGCAGCTGCTTAGTGTAAAAAGGCAGGGTGAACATAAAATGGGACTCTCCCCCAAACTGAACGGCTGACCTTCCAATGAACATCATTTCCAGTGGAGGCAATGGGTTGGTGGCTCAGGAGTAAGTGCACCTGGCCTCAGATCCAACACTAACCCTGGTTTCTTAGCTGTGTGACATTGGGTAAATTTCCTAGTTTTTCTTAGTTCGTTTCTTTACCTATAAAGTAGGATGATAATATGAATAGCAGCTAATATCCATTGAACCTTCGCTGAGAATGTGCCAGGGTCCTGAGCCCTTTGCCAGTGCTATTATCTCATTTAATACTCATAACAATCCCCAAGCTGTCAATTCTGGTGTTGTTTCCTAGCTCATGATGTTGTGACAGTGGATTGGGACAAGACTTGTCAGTTGCCTCACCTGACACCAGGCTAACCATGAGTTGTCATTCCGAGTTGTTTATCATGCCCTGGTCACTGTCTGTCCTCCTTCCTAGCAAAGCCCTCGTATCAGTTTGAGGGAAGGTCAAGGTGTGAGCACCCTTCTTATATTCTTGCAGGGAGGAGGCTGAGAGAGCGCAGATATGATAGAGTCCACCAAAGAAGAACGCCTTCTCAACCAGAGTTTTTGCTTTGATGGAACAGAGTTTCTCTCTTTTCTTGTTTCTGCAGATCCTCTCATTTGGAGGACTACCCCTACGATGCAGAATATTGAGGTTGAATCTCCTGGAGACATTACACAGGGGATTCTCTTTCTTCGCTGAAGTGTGACTATCTCCACTCACGTCCTATTTTAGCCAAGCTTATCTGAGATCACAGTGAACTTCGTCCTGCTGTAGACCAGAATTGAGGTGCTGTTTTAGACATGTATTTCTGTATGTGCAACTAGGATCAGAATATCACAGAAAAACATGGCTTGAATAAGCAGATGACAATTTTTTCCACTTCTCTGATCTGAACAAATATTTGTTAAGCACAAGAAATTCTGCCAACACTGAGGATGTAAAGATCAATAATAAAAAATAATGATGGTAACCAAGATGGATTGAGAGTGGACTGTGTTCCCATACCATGTGAAGTGTTTTCCTGTGGGGGAAGTCACTGAATCCTCAAAATAACCCCACTGAGGTAGGTACTCTTAACATCTTAGGAGGGAGAGAGGAGGAACTTGTCAAGGCCACTCCGGTAGTAACTGACTGAACCAAGTTTGAAAGGCAGGCAGGCTCTGGGAGAGCTCACAGCAATCGATGGTCATCCTCTTCCTCCTGAGTCTTTTCCTGCCACCTTTCCTCCTTGCCTGTCTCCACTCATTCCCTGTCTTGCTCTCCTACCTTGTCTTCAATACACCATCATGCCAAAGAGTCAATGGCACAGCCTGCAAACTGCACAAAGATGCTACTGTTCACTGAGAGAGATATGGCATTTCCTTGGAAAGCAGGGTGGAAATACAATAGATGCTTACTGTTGCCATTAATCTGGAACATTTCTGTTTGTCCTATAATAATCACTTCTTATGAAATATTCCAACTATATGGAAATGTACAGAAAATAAAGTAATGAGCCTCTGGTCACCCACATTATAATGTTAACAAGTGTTAGCCGGGTGTAGTGGTGTGCACCTTAGTCCCAGCTACCAGAGAGGCTGAAGTGGGAGGGTCGCTTGAACCCGGGAGGTGGAGTTTGCAGTGAGCCAGACTTGCACCACTGCACACCAGCCTGGGTGACAGAGAGAGACTCTGTCTCAAAACAAAAAACAAAAACAAATGCTAACATTTTACCATATTGTCTCCAAACCTTTAAAAAAAATTAAAGAAATTAGGGGTTACCAATATAGTCAAGGACCACTTTGTGCACATTCCCCTGACTACCTCTCCAGAGGCAAATGCCTATCCTAAATTGGCGAGTCCCCTCACCCTCTTACTGGGGCTGGGGGGTACACCTACATTCCCAGGCTTCCTTGCTATGTTATAACTTCCCCTGGGTTTGCTCAGTGAGAAGTACTGTTAGGAGCTTGAAGGGCTGGACAAGGGAAGAGTCAGGCATTTCTCTCTCCCTCTCTCCCTGTCTCTTGACCTTGAGTGGCATCTCCAGTAGAAAGCACATTCCTCTGTGGGCCCAGCTTTTTCCAGGCAGCCTCCACCTTGATTCTATCTCCTACCAGACAAAGCTTCTGGGTTGAGGGAGCAGCACCCTTTCTTTGTCCTTCCTTAGGAGCGAGGATCTCTTCCTGCTGCTTCTAAACTGAGTTGCCTCATCTCCTTTCCATAGCCCAGCTATTCCATCACGTGTAACTGATCACCTATTATAACCAATTATTTGAATCAAACATCCAATATTTAAAAATCTTAGCACAGTTTCTTTTCTCCTG